AAATTCTCACTCTTCTTGTTTAAAATCTTCCAAAATAGCACTTAAATTCTGAGAAAGAAGTCGCTCATCTGCAGAAATCTGAAAAAAGGAAATTAATGTAGATATCACTTTCAGCCTTGATGAGTAAATTGTTATCAATAAGTATGTTATTGTGACCTTTTTGAGTTATTCCACTGCACGGGAGAAAGAAATAAAGAGGGAGCGAGGCAAGGAGGGAAGAGAGAGAGAGAGAGAGAGAGAGAAGGGGGGGGGGAGGAAAGAGAGAGACAGGAGTAAGAGGAGAGAAAAAGAGAGGAAACCAAGTTAAATTCTTTTTACATCACAAAGCATTGCAATTATATTTTTATTCAGAGCTTATACGAATCTTTGATGCAAAGTTGTGTCAAACATATAGACAACGAATCCAATAAAACGAAAGAAAGAATGAAAGTTGATATATATATATATATATATATATATATATATATATATATATATATATATATATATTATATATATATATATATATATATATATATATATATATAAGCTGTAACAGACATGCACAGTAAACATCCTTTGTTGACGGCTGACCTATGTAATGGTAGAAAGCAGAAACCCCCACTTCACAGAAAATAAGTAACCTAGATTTGATCGTATCTGCTTTCAAAGCCTAGTTTATGTATAGAGGGATCTTCTGGCCGAGTTTAAGAAGCGAAGCGTGGTTTAACAGGTGGTGACTGTCCAATTTACATTAAAAAGCTTACGTCTTGTCACACCTCTGTTCGACGAAGCGGTTGCCAGTCGTGAGCTTGTTTCGTTTTTATGACGAATATTATACTTTTGCATATCAGAAAATAAATAAATACATATCATTGTTTAGGTTATTCCCCCATATGTGTAAAATATATTTTTGTTGTATATTACTCCCACGCCTATTATGCAAATTCATGATAATGCAAATACACGGGCATCCTCCTCTCTTTTTTGCGTGTATGGCCTAAGGGCTGAGCGCAGGGGCTAGGGAGAAGGATGTCTTTGTTGTTGTGCGTCTTTGGCCTATTTATTCATTAATTTGTGTTCATTTCCAGATATAAAAACTTTTTCATCCCCATGATTATGTCTAGCCAACTTTATTAATTTGTTACATATATGTTACTTACATCCGTATTTATTTATATAATTCTCAGATTCCAGTGTTTAACTTGAAATTCCATGTTCTGACATCTGAGGTGGAAATGCCTAATATAGGAACATTGAAACATTGTTATGGTAATGTTCCTTATTATGTAACAACCTTACTTATTAGCTCGCTTCAGGCTATCCCATCCCTAATATATTCATGCGCGCACACACACACACACACACACACACACACACACACACACACACACACACACACACACACACAACACCACACACACACACACACACACACACACACACACACGAAAAAATACAATGAATAAATATAGTTAACTACAACTAATATAGATTTGTTGATCTACCCACACTATTGCAGGCAAGCATATATTTATATACGAATATACATACACTCACGCAATATATTACATATACAGACAGGAACAAAGTAGAACAAACATGCGCTCTCTCTCTCTCACACACACACACACACACACACACACACACACACACACACACACACACACACACACACATACCAGTATTCGTTGTTGTTTATGGCCAATTACGTATTATAAAAAAGGAAATACATCTTACCAGAATAAGACTCATTTACATTCCCATTTCCCCTAGAATCCTCCCCTTCCCCCAGACGTACCGACAACGCAACCAGCTGACCGAATCTGACCAATTTTCTGCAGCGTAAAGCAACCTCAGCTAACGGACTGACCCGGAGAAACAAACCACGCCCTGAGAGAAAGAGGGGGTGGGTTGGTGCCGGGGGGGGGGGGCGGTGAGGTAGGATGACTTTGAGTTCTTCGGAAGGTCATGGAAAGAGTTGCTTGTTTTTTGTTTCTTTTTCGTATCAATTTTGCTTTATTTCTTTTTATCTTGGTGGTCATAGTATCGATAGAGTTCAAATTGAAGTGTAGGTAGGCTTGAAACGTGTTGAGATAAACTTAATTATTTCCATATTTGCTAAGGTGTTCCTTAGGTGTAGTGGTTCATCGATAACTGGATTTCCGCTTATTAATGTACATCGTTACAGTAATATAGGTTGTTTGTGTCCTGTGTACCCAGAAGTTCGCTATCTGCACTACCAAACACAGTATCTTCTACGATATCCTGTAATGAATGCCTTTCCGTAAATCGGTACATAATCATGTATATATATATATATATATATATATATATATATATATATATATATATATATATTATATATATTATATATATTATATTATATATATATATATATATATATATATATATATATAAATATTTTCATTACTTCTATCTCTTTCTCAGTTTATACTCATGATCTCTCGCTCTCTTCCACATATTTATTGCTCTCCATCACACCAATCCAGGTTTAGTCTATAAGGAATTACCACTGGCCCAATAAACCCATTAATCAGAACAGCCCACCGTGCAGATCCTCGCTTTATTTCCGGGTGAAGTTCCCTCACATTCTCCGGGTCGGAATGTAGGTTAAGTCGACCCGTATTTATGGCCACGACTGGTCCCTCAACCTTTTGACATTTCGGAATCTTGTCAACCATCGGTGATGAACTGGATCTCAATAACTACGATGCTAGACACGGGAAATAATATTTCTTTGCATTTGACATTTTGGGTATTAGTTAATCTTT